CAACATAGGAGGAAGGCAGTTATTAATTAATTATTGAATAACCGAAGGTGCTACCATGCTACCATGTGCTACCAGGTCATTTAACTTCTCTGAAAAAGTGTGACAACACGACATTTTGACAACAACATAGGAGGAAGGCAGTTATTAATTATTTTTGAATAACCGAAGGTGCTACCATGCTACCATGTGCTACCAGGTCATTTAACTTCTCTGAAAATTACTGACAACACGACATTTTGACAACAACATAGGAAATAAACTTCTTCTTCGTAAATGTTTTTGTCATGACTTCTTCTTCGTAAATGTTTTTGTCATGAATTTTCCCGAAATAAACATATATTTTAGTTTTTTAAAAAAATATATTTTATTTTGTATGTAAAGACAGATGTACGCTGAACTTGTTGGTCAAGATGTATGGAAAGAATGTTTACAAGATGAAGAGTATGAAATTCACTGTTCTGAGCCTTTTGAAATAAGGAAGAAAGAAACCAAGAGAATTATACATGAATATAACAGAGGAATAGGTTATATTTGTGTAACATTAAACCTCAAAAAGTACCAAAAACATGTTCTCATAGCTACTCATTTTATTTCCAATCCGAACAATTTACCGTGTGTGGACCATATAAACCATCAAAGAGACGACAACAGAATCTCAAACCTTCGTTGGTGTTCTAGATCTGAAAACAATAGAAATAAAAGCAAGTATGGTGATATAGTTTATGAGTTCGTTGATGAAATATCTGACGAAGCAATTGAAATAAACTCTTATGGAAAGCATGACTTAGAGTTCTACTACTATGTTGAGAATGAGACGCATTCTATTACTATACAGGAGTTAACTATAGAAAAATGCATGTTTGTTTCCTAAAATCAGGAATTGCATATGTTACTTTGACGGATACTGAAGGAAAGAAAGTTCAAGTTCGTTTAAACGTTTTCAAGAGGTTATATAATATTCAGTTTTGAACCATGAATTTTCATGAATTTCCTTAAGACAGAAAAATAAAGTTAGTTTAAAATTGTTTTTATTTTTTTATTCCTATATAAATGACAGCAACAAACAACAGCAACAACTATATCGTTTCTGATGAAAATATCATTGATTCATTAGCTGAGGAATTAGTTGTGGCAGAAACTAAAACCCTCAACGAAAGAATTGGTGAAAACAAGATTGATTTACATAACTACCTCAAACACGATGGAGGAAGAGGAAGGAAAACTGGTATGGCTTTATTAGTAAATAAAATTTCAAATTTAACGATTATAGATGTTGATATCAATAAATCGTACAATGATGAACTTAAAGAAACAGTTAGAAAAGACATTTTATCAAAACTTTCGGATAAAGATGTTATCGTTAAAACCGCATCAGGAGGTCTTCACATTTATTGCAACACTAATTTCTTCTATTCAACCTCGAACAGAATGATTAAATGTTATTCCTGCAATGATTATGATATTGACATAATGACTTCTATGGATGATTCAAAGCGTTCATTAGTGGTTATGGCTGATTCAAGAGTTCGCAAGAATGCAACAGAACCAATCAAAACATACTCATTCATTCGTGGAAGTTATGATTCAACATTAACTAGAACAGTAAACGATATATTAAATGATTTGAATATTAAGGTAAGAGTTGAACAGAAGAATGAAGAAATAAAGAGTATAATGAATGAAAACAAAGATGTAAACATTGACGATAAACTTGCCCAGAGCATAGTTGATGGCATCTGTGATTTTGAAGTACATAATGACGGTGGAAACATGAATTTAGAAAAAGAAATAACATTATTCACACTGTTTCAAGCAATTAATTCGTTACCGGATCATTTAATTAATGAAGCATACGATAACGTTTATAACTTCTGCAGTTTAACAGAAAATGCAAAAAGTAATTTTGAAAAAGCACGTGGTAGATATGCACATTTAATGACTTCTCCATTTGTTTTAGTGAAGATTCTAAAACTATATCAAAAGGAATATTATGATGAATATGTTTTACCTTTATTACGTAAGCCAAAAATAACATTTGATATCAAACTTGATGATTCATTCTTGATAACAGATATTAGACGCAAGGCTGAAAATCATCAGTATAAAAACAGTTCTGAAGTAATTGAGGATTTATCACGTGTAATCCGTTTTGTAGATTGTGGAAACAAATACTTCATTCAGAAAGATTACAACATACACGACAAAATGAATCAAATATCATTCGTTCTTCAATCAAACATGAAAGAGTCACTCAAAATGATTAAATTATTTAAAGAAGAAGGTAAAACCATAACAGCATGGGACGTACTACTAAATCAATTATCCTCATTAACCGTTAAGGGTGTTTGCTTTAAATCTGATTCCCCAGATGTTTTCTCAACGTTTCAAGGTTATAAATACAACGTTCTCGAAAAGCCTGATTACTCAAAAATTGAGATGTTTATGAATTTCATTAAAGAAGCCATTTGTGATAATAACGATGAAGTGTATAAATACCTTCTCGGCTGGATTGCATCAATGATTCAACATCCTGGAATCAAGAATGAAACAGCAATTATTTTGAAAGGACTTCAGGGAACAGGTAAAAACAGATTTACAGACATTATTTCTGAACTTCTCGCTGGTTATTCATGTAAAAACATTACTGAAATAAGTGAGCTAACGGGTAATTTCAACTCAGTTGTTGAAAATAAAATGTTTCTTGTACTTAATGAACTCAAGAATGTAGGTGAAGACAGACTCGCAAACTTCAACGCTTTGAAATCAATTATAACGGATAATGAGATTAGAATTAATGAAAAGAATCAACCCAGAAGAACTGCTCAGAACGTTGCAAACTTCATTTTCGTAACTAATAACGTTTACCCTGTCAAAATTGAAGTTGGAGACAGAAGATATGTAGTTTTAAGAGTTAATGGTAAATTTAAGGGTCAATTTGATTACTTCAAGAATTTGATGAATTCATGCACAAAGGAATTTTATGATAATTTACTGACGTATTTTATCAATTACGACCTTTCATCATTTAATGTACGAATCATACCGATGACTGAAGCCAAACAAGATTTAATTGAATTATCATCAAATCCTTTAGATGTATGGATAAATACACATTATGATGAATTGTGTGCAGGTATGACGTGTGAAAATGCTCTATTCTGCAAACCATCAGACATGAAAGACAAGAATTTCCAAATGAGTATTAAGGATAAATGTGATAGGAGACATAGAAGAATAGACGGTAAACAAACATGGTATTATGTTTTGAAAGAAGAAATGAAAGGATTATATAAACAGGTTGAACCAAACGATAATGAGGATTCATTTACTGACGATGAAATACCTGTAAATGAGCCGCTAAGCGGCGAGACCTGAAGGTCTAGCTTTATAAAGTATGATTTGAATTTATTTTTGAATAACTACCTTCCTCCTATGTTGTTGTCAAAATGTCGTGTTGTCACACTTTTTCAGAGAAGTTAAATTACCTGGTAGCACATGGTAGCATGGTAGCACCTCCAGTTCTTCAATAATTAATTATTTTTGAATAACTACCTTCCTCCTATGTTGTTGTCAAAATGTCGTGTTGTCACACTTTTTCAGAGAAGTTAAATTACCTGGTAGCACATGGTAGCATGGTAGCACCTCCAGTTCTTCAATAATTAATTATTTTTGAATAACTACCTTCCTCCTATGTTGTTGTCAAAATGTCGTGTTGTCACACTTTTTCAGAGAAGTTAAATTACCTGGTAGCACATGGTAGCATGGTAGCACCTCCAGTTCTTCAATAATTAATTATTTTTGAATAACTACCTTCCTCCTATGTTGTTGTCAAAATGTCGTGTTGTCACACTTTTTCAGAGAAGTTAAATTACCTGGTAGCACATGGTAGCATGGTAGCACCTCCAGTTCTTCAATAATTAATTATTTTTGAATAACTACCTTCCTCCTATGTTGTTGTCAAAATGTCGTGTTGTCACACTTTTTCAGAGAAGTTAAATTACCTGGTAGCACATGGTAGCATGGTAGCACCTCCAGTTCTTCAATAATTAATTATTTTTGAATAACTACCTTCCTCCTATGTTGTTGTCAAAATGTCGTGTTGTCACACTTTTTCAGAGAAGTTAAATTACCTGGTAGCACATGGTAGCATGGTAGCACCTCCAGTTCTTCAATAATTAATTATTTTTTCATTTTTGGAATCCTTAGCGAATGAGGAATCTTTTCTTTCGTGGAAGCTTTGACCAAAAATAAATGGTTCATTTACTCACAATATTTTTTTACAAAACGACCCCAAACTTTTAACTTCTTTTCTGCAGCTTCAAATGCTATCTTAGCGAGTTCATATTCTCTAAATTCTCTCTTTAAATCTTCTTGTTCCCATTGGTCTAGTTCGTATGGAGAATCTCTATAACCATAATATATCTCACGTTCATGTTCTATTTGTTTTTCATGCATTTTTCCAACTTCTTCTTCAAACAAAGGTTTAGCATTCTCTACTGTATCTTCGAGTTCTTCTTCATCTAACTTCTCATGAACTTTCTTGTCTATGGAGTCCATAATATCTTTGACATAAAATGCATACTTTACAGAGCACCATTCAGCAACAAAATGAACGAGGTCAGGATGTATGTAAATACCTTTGAATTCATTCATGACACCCTTTGTAAGCTCATAAAATGCTTGTTTTGAGGTCGAGCCACTTTTGGCTCCACCGTATTCGTTCAACCAAAACTCAAGAATTTCCTGCATTTTAGCACTATTGAGAAATCTGTTTAAATGGTTTAACTTTCCTGCTTCTCTTGCCATCTTTGTTGCATTAATGTAACCATCCTTGTCTCTACGTAAGACTTCAATATCGTTATAAGTGCCTTTTGTGAATGTTTCGCCATTAGATTTGTTCGTGAATGTTTTTGCTTCGACTGACATTACTGTTCTTACATACAAAATAAAAAATAAAAATAATTTTAAAACTAATGAAATTAATTATTTTTGGACTGAATTCATTGAACTCTATACCATGCGAATACAGTCATAAATGGTGGCATGTAATCTTTACTTTGTCCCGTTGTTTGTGTATATCCTGAAACGCGATGTGTATGGTTTCCTTCTCCCTGAGTGTCACTCCAGTAACAATTTATGGCAAACTTAACGTTGTCTTTAACATCATATCCTTTACCTTTTGTCATTCCTGACCAATCCCAATATCTATGCTTATGCCAACCTGCTTGAGATGTGCTTAAATCTATGTAGTGACTGTGTGCAGGTAAATTTTCACCTGTAATCGTTTTACTTCCCCCTGTTTCCTTTGAAGAGTTTGCACAATACAAAAACCTGTCGACTATTTGTTCCCATGCACCAACACCAAACATTACTTGAGGACCTCTTGCATCCATAGATGTATAAATAGAACCTACTGGGTTCATTAAATCAAACATATGAGATATTATAGGATTGTCTCTTTTGAACTTAAAATATAGTGCAACCATTTCAGGTTTCTTCTGGTTTGTGTCAGAATATTTTTTATAATATAATCTTATGTTTTCAGGGTGGGTAAAGTCTTGACTATAATATTTATTTTTGTCATCTTCATAATAGTATACTATTCTCGTTTTTTCTATTGCATTATATCTTTTATATCTATAATAATCTAAATATAATGTTTGCTTTTTTGGGTCTACACGTGCGTCAACACCATAGTCATAATAATACGGTGCTGGAGCTACGTTAGACAATGTCATATCCGTCATTTCATAAACTCTTAAATATTTCTTTTGTTCGTCTCCATATAAGTTTAAGTAGCAGTTGTTGTCTAATGGAACTTTAACTTGTGTGTCATTATTCTTTATATAGCCTACATACATTTCATTGTTATTTTTCGGAATGAGTTTATACCGTATACCATTTCTTAAGGACTGTACAAACTCCCATCTAAAATATTTATTTTCTTCATCGACAGAAAAGTCGCCAACAATAGTTTCAATATTTTTTGTTGTTCCAACTAAACTTTGGTATATTTCGTTAACATATTCCTTATCTGCTTTCTTTGCTAACTCATCGTTAACATATTCCTTATCTGCTTTCTTTGCTAACTCATCGTTAACATATTCCTTATCTGCTTTCTTTGCTAACTCATCGTTAACATATTCCTTATCTGCTTTCTTTGCTAACTCATCGTTAACATATTCCTTATCTGCTTTCTTTGCTAACTCATCGTTAACATATTCCTTATCTGCTTTCTTTGCTAACTCATCGTTAACATATTCCTTATCTGCTTTCTTTGCTAACTCATCGTTAACATATTCCTTATCTGCTTTCTTTGCTAACTCATCGTTAACATATTCCTTATCTGCTTTCTTCATTATGTCATTTAGGAAACCTTTTATGAATTCCTCATTTAAATTAAATCTTCCAATCTTCAAAACTTTAGGAAATGCATTTAATGCGTAATATCTTTGTTCTTCTGGTGGAATTGATGTTATATCATCCGTTATTCCTTTAATTTTTGAATTCATAAATAAAATTTCTTTTATATTTGATATCACCGCACCACCTTTGCAAACGAATTCGAAATGGTCATTTTTCAATACTATCTCCAAATCTCCATATTTCAACATTTGCGTTTGTTCTGCCGTCTTTGAATTATATGCATATATGGCGTATGTAATGGTCTGTGGTTGCTGTTGTTGTTTAATCATTTATTACGATTTAAAAATAAATATTTAATCTGTTATCTCATCAGCTATTTTTTCTATTTGAAATTGCCATAATATTTCATTCATAAATTCTAAATCACAATCAAATAGGTCAGTTATTCTAAATTTAATATTTGATAAATCTTTTGAATGAAGAATAAATGAATTCCCGGATAATTGAAACGGATATGATAAAGAAAATGTGTTTAAGTTGATGGATAAAATGTTTTGTATTGATGGGTAAGAGTTAGGGTCTAATGTTTGATGTGAAAATCTCATTGGGGTATTAACTTTATCACATTTGATTAAAATGAAATTGGAACCAGTGTCAGAATACAAAACATCCCCAACATCTTTTTCAAAATTTAATATCCCCAACAATGAACGAAGGTGAGGAGTACAAAATTTAATTTTCAGCGGAAATTTAATAAGGTTATTTATTTCATCAAGTTCAAAAAGTTTATCAGGTTTTGATTTAAAATTTTCTTCATACCATACGATAAATGATTCATTTAAATAACTTAAAATCATGTTAATATCCCATTTCGCTATCACATTATTTATATACATATCATACGTTTTTAGGTCTACGACCCCGTCGCCATGCGGCTCAAGGTCATCTTTAATAAATGATATATAATCTGAAGGGTCTAAAAGAATGGGATTAAATTTACCACTCACAGAAACGAGAGTAACATTATAAATTCCGCTAACTGTTAAATTTAATTCACAGTTATTATTCGAAATAATATTGATAATTGACATTTTTTTATTACGATTAAAAATATGGTAAAGCGTTATTTTCCAGTGATAAATAAAACTAGAATAAGATTACCTCAAGAATTCATAAATTCAACGAATAAGAAATTCATTCATGTTATAAATTTTAGTGTTTTCAGAAAATATGAGTCAATGTCATATTCATCATCAGGTTATATTTCACTTCATTCAAATTTAGTTCAATCAAACCCATATAATGACCATTTCATAAGATTTTCAGATGGTATTAAAAATGTAATTGATAGATTAAAATATGAACAGATTGACAATATCGAATTTTTGGAATTTTGGTTTAAATATCCCGATGGAAAAAAGATTGAAGTTAAAGATAAAGCTGATACTATAACAAAAACAATTACAATGACCGATCCAGATAGTGGGGAACAAAAAGAAATAAAACAAACGATAGAAACTGGTGAAAGGTCAATTATTATCGATTATGATTCAAAGGATTATTATTCGATAATGTTAATGCTTGAATATTAAATAGCCTTAACAAAGAATTTTTCAAGTGATATTTTATATTCATCAACTATTTTATTATAAATATCATTATATGTTAAATGAAGTTCAGTTGTTGTTCCGTTCTTTGATATCTTAATTGTGCTAATATCCTTTATAGGATTTATTTTTGCAACTGTTCCGCAGCATGAAACCTCATCATCTATGAAAAATTGAATCTTCACGTCTGAATCTTGAACATCACAAAGAATGGCGATAATGTGAATTAATGATTCATAAGGTAAAATAATTAAACCGGATTGTCAATTAAATTTATTATTGAATCATAATTATCAGTTATGATATCACGGTAAATTTTCATTAATTCAGAATTAATGTCTATTTTATATGGCGCATTGCGACTGAATCGTAGATTCCTGGGTTCTCGATGTTTGATGAAAGAGGGGGGTATGTTGGATAAGTGGGAATTTCAACAGGTTCTTTACCAGGTTCAGATAAAATGATTGGGTCTCCATCTCTTTTTTGCTCCTCCTCATTCTTCGGTAAGTCACGAGTTAATAAATTTGGTTGAGTTGCTGACCTTGTTAATTCAGGACTAACATTAACTTTAACATTTTGAATAATTCGTGATTTATCATCATTTACGTTATAACCAACCGTAATCTCTGCTTTTGCGTTAGTGTTCTTTTGACTAGTGAAACGTCTTCTCATTTATATTCGAATAAAAAAAATATATTTAAACTTTTATTTTGCTGGAACTTTTGAATCTATTATTCCTGTATTTGTTCATGAAGTTGATTTTTAGCATTTTCATCGAAATTAATAGACCGAATATATTCATTAATTGCATTCTTATAATCATTGATTTCTCAAATTTTCTTTTATCTGATTCCTTAACTAAATCATAAGTTAAACCTCGTTGCTGATATAATGGTTTCTTAATTAAATCTTTGAATGCTTGAGATAAAGCACCTGATGCAATTCTTGCTACTATAATTGGTTGGAATTTGTTTAAGTTCATCTTTAACATTTGCGAAAACTGGATCGAATAAAGCAACTTTAAAGAATTTCTTAGCTGGAATTTCAGTCTCAAATTTGCATATTGACCATCAAACTGGTTAGAATATCGTGGTAATCCATCCGGTCCCTCTTCAATAGCATTTAATTCTTCATTGAAGTAAGAATATGGATTATGACGGTATGAATTAATTGGACCATTTTCACCTTCTCCAATGTATTGTTTAACAGCTTTTCCATTTTCATCAAATTGCATAGGATAATGTTCATTATATGCTTTACGTTTAGGATAATCCGTCATTGTTAATTTATACCCATTTATGACTTTAATATTTCCTTGACCATCAGTAACGAAAACTTCATTTATTCCATCAGGTTTTCCATTTGGACCCGTAATGTCTGCTTCGTGTGCTTCCCAATTTGGTCCGTGACGTTTGGCATATGCTTGAGCTTCTGGTAATGTTAAAACGTTTCTCATTTGTTTAACATCCTTTTGAAGACCGGCAACAATGTGGACTAATTCTTTCATTCCGTCTGGAACTTTCATAGTTCTATTATATGCACCCTTTTTGTTTGTTCCTTGTTTTAATGGAACCTGTAGAAGATTTGCAATTTCTGTCATGTTTAATTATAAATAAAAAATAAAAATTAATTATAAAAAGTTATTCGAATTTAATGGAACCTTTATTTAAATCAACTATTATTTTTCCATGTTCTCCTAATTGTTGATATTGTGTGTAAAGTTCATTAATGCTCATTGGTAAATTCACTTGATAAAGCATAACGTTCAACTGTTGACGACTAAAACCACTGAAAATGAAAAGGGTGGACAGGTTTGATTTAATGTTTGTGCTTAATGCTTTGAAGTATTGAACAGCCATGAAGAATGAACACTGAATGTGTCGACATTGAGTTAATAATTGATTAAAATATGATTTCTCATTAGTTATTAGTTTTGATTTCACCGCATCATCTAGAAAAATGAGTGAATGCAAAAATTCTCTATCAAAATTTGAAATAGAAAGTGTTTCAAATAATTCATCCCGTTGTTTATCAATAATTTTATCCTCTAATCCTTGCTTCTTGATTGTATTATATAATTCTTTATACATTACAAAGTTTTTTAAATAATCTTCTGCTTCTTCTTGTGATAAATAAATAATTGGAATTTTGATTAAATGCTTTAAAGATTCAAATGTATCATCTGAAGGTGAACCTGAACGGTTGATATAAATTAACACATGTGAATAGGGAAGTGTTAGCAATAATGATAATTTGTTTTAATATCGTTAATGTTTTACCTTTATTTTGTTTACCAATTGCTGCAGTGATTGAATTTAAGTAACATTCAGAATATGGAATTTTCATTAATTTTTCCTTAGATAGAGCATTTCTATTATCACTCAATGCTTCATTAATCATATCATCTACGTATGTATTATATACTCCTGCTAATTCTTCATAAGGGGTGGATGAATTTAAATCCATTTAATCAAAAATAAATTTATAATTTTAAACATTTCTATTCATCAATATTTCATCATATGAACTTCTATACTGTGGTGTACCTGTTGGATGATATTTCAAACCTTCATCCGGTGTCCATGTCCAATATGTAGTCCTAGTAAACCAAACCTGAGGAGGATTTGTCACCTTTGAACAGTAAGTGTCATTTTCACCCTGAATGATTGGATAAGCTTTCACTTGTACTGTAACTTGTGAGTTGAAAGTTTCTAATCCATCAAAGAATATACCCGCTCCATCACGTTGAACTGGAATAGTGCATAAGAATGAAGTTTGGTCTTTCCATGTTCTAGCTAATGGTGTGCCATATCATCATTCAGTGGTCTAGTTAATGAGTCCTCGTATTCTTCGTGCATTCATTCACTCCATCTAAATCAGAAGCTTGAAGCATACGTGTAAAGAATATGTCGCCCACTGTGGTCATCGCTTGATCGGGGAAGTTTCTGGAATCTATAGTGACCTGAAGACCTCGAAGCATTGGATTTTCTAAAACCGTTCTTTGCATTGCATTCTTCGGAAATGCTAACACAACATCTGTAACATTATGAAGAGCGTATGAGAAATCTGAGCTGATACCTTCAGGAGTGATGCAACCTCCATTTAGTGAACGAACGTCAATATGTTGAGCTGGAATCATGAATGGATCTTCCTTACTAAATAAACGTGGTATTGCTTTAACTGATTCTTCAATTAAACCGTATCCTGGTGTAATGCATTTATCCTCTAAAACTTCCATCTTTGTGCATGAAATAATAACGTCTTCAACTGTTGCGTCAGCAGATGTAGCGGCTAAGCTTGTAATTAATTTGCAGGAAGTCCGATTTGTTGGAATTTGCGATCGTATTTATAAACATGATTCATAATCTTTTCATAATTTTCATCAGTTATCTTTTCATAAACGTAATTTTGTAAATCAGCAACTCTTAACGGGTCAACCTGACAAAATACTAAAGTATCCCTGAAAACATAATATTTAAGAATGATTTCACCAAATGATTTAGGATAATCATCGAACGCCTGAAATGCTAACAAATCATTTACCGGAATAATCATATCAAAAGTGACATCAACTTCTTCATTTGCTTTCTTGAAAACTTCTGAAGGGTCAATATATTTACCACATACTGAGTTATCATATTTTTGAACATTATTATATAACGAATGAACAAACTTTTTAACTTTCCTTTCTGATTTTGGTTTATATGTTGCAAATGCGAAAG